AGCTCAGATCATAAATGACAGAGGCTCCATGCGGACAGATCTTTAATTTATTCATCTGCAGAATGTACGTGAACTTTGAGTCAAAACAGTGTTGAGAGAGAGGAGGTGTCCACTCAAGTGTAATGCACACCGATAAACACATGGAGTCTTCTGAGAGCTGGTGTGAGTATAAATGACCCAACAGCTGCAGCAAACACTACCTCAGCATCCACGACACCTACGTGAGCAAACACATGACATAATGTGAGGAGCTGTCAAAGGCAAACAGTCAGGGCCAGTGAGCACGGGATCAAAAACACAAAGAAAAACTGAGTGACACTTCAGTGATGTCATTTCTCAAAAAAACTACTAAGAACTAAGAAACAAGTGTAAAAAAATACAACAGTTAACATTTCACAATGCCCAGAACCCATGTCTAGTTTCTGGTGCAAGCATGAGAACTATCAAGTAATGCTAACATCAGGCCCTTTTACAAGAAATAAGAAAACTATAACTAGCAGCAGTCCCTAACCCTCACAATATTACATTAGTTCTTAAAAAAACTGTCAGATTGAATCAGTTTGGCAGGCTGCATGGATGTCTCAAACAAATTACCTTTCTTACAACTGGGCGTTACAGATTTTTATTTTTTGTTATGGTTTGCAAAATGACCACATTAGATGAGGGACATTTCCACACTGTTAAGTCTAAAAGGCATGTAATTACCATTTTAAAACACAAGCACATTTAGCCCTAAATATGAACAATAGGACAATCAAACACATTTGATTAAATAATTTACCAGAACTATTCAATTAGGAACAAGTAGTGAGGGGATGCTGAATGTCTGTGTAGAAATTTTTTGATACAAAAAGAGGTACCTAGAGGCATTTTCTCAAAGGTTATGTATGGGTTATGATCCAGTGTGTAGACAATCCCTATAGAAGTTGTCAGGCGAGGGTTAAGGTAATAGGGTAGAGTTGTGTGACAGTCCCTGTTGCAATGTGTAAATAGTCTTAAAGATAAATAAACATCCTTCAGTTTGATTAGGGCAATGCATTTGACTGTGACTAGTGTTGACGTCGAGAGGTGTGACTATCAGCTGTCATTGAAGTTTCAATGGAGTCAGTGAGTCACTATTCCCAAGAAGCAGAGGTCAGTGTTTATTGGAGCCTGAGGGCATTGAATGCACATCTTTGTGTATTAGGGGTTTGTTGTGTGAAATATAAGAGGGATCATTACATCACTGAATGATAACTGATACAGGTAATTGTCTTTGTTGACATAAGGGAGTGTTTGAAGCCTTGGGGCATGAGACCACAAGTGGAGAAATATGGCGCAAACTTCACCGCAAAACTAAGCACAAAAAAAAAAAAAAAAAAAGTTAAACAGCTGTCTTATTCTCTTATAATGAAATGCAAGCCATTCGTAGTGAAAGCTAACCATACAGATCCACGTTGACTCCCACATGAACAACATGCTAGCATCTCTACATTCATACAGAGCCTAAAGTCCGCTAAAAGCCACAGCTGTCCGCTCTCATCTGCAGCCCGTAACGGCGAAACCAGAAACTCACCTCCTCACATCGAACGGCATGATGCTTTCACGTCTGAAACCGGGAATTTAACGGGATAAAACTATAAACAAAAGGCAAACATAGGGAATTTCTTCGCTGCTACCGGGTGTTCATCGGTACCGGGCTGACGTCAGCATAGGACGCTTTGCAAAATTTGATTGGCCAAGAGAAACTTCCGGGGACTCGTGATTCTCCTTCCGATCAGAGCAAAACAGAAAATAAGTTTTTAATTTTTTACTTAAACTATGTGATTTATGTGGTTAATACTGAAAAGTGGACAGATAACGTACAAAAAATGAATAAATATATACATAAATAGCAGTAGATCATTCGAGTCATACATTTCATTCATGGCATTCATATAACACCACAGAAGCTGTAGGTAAACTATCAGGTAGCCTCATGGATTTATAAATACAAGCCTTGACTAATTAAACATCTTGGAGTGAAACATCTACTACACTGAAAGCTTTAAAACCACTTTGAAATGAAAGTTATAATTATGTATCTTGCTTATAAAATATGCTAAAGGTCTACAAAAACTTGGATTGGATCTGTAATCAAATCAAATTTATTAATATAGCACATTTTGAGAACACATCATTTCCTTCATTGTAACACAACTTTTAGGGGCACCAATGTATTTCTGCAAACATATCCATGAGTAAACTGATCTAAATGGGAGCTGGACCATATTGGTCTCTGTTCCATCTCCTGATAGTCTTCTCTATACAAAATGGCTTCTTCTTAAAATCTCAGAACCTACTTTGGGCACCCCTAAGGGCACATGGTTTGTCATCTCCACTTAGTGCGTATGTGTAAGAGGTAAGCAGAGGGGCAAACTGTGTCGTTCCTCTCCAGAAAAGAGCATTCAGCCAGTGTGTTTCTGTTCAAATATGTGAAAGCCATTTTAACTAGACTATAAACTGTAATGAATTCTGCTTTCACTACCATAATCTCCAGTATTATGTTGGTTCTTTTCATGTTTAATGAGTGTTGATTTTAAGTAGACTAAAGTGGTCTTTTGCCAAATTCTGGTACATTTACAGTGGGTAGGGTTTATAAATGTACACTGTCCCTGTTAAAATAAACAAATAAATTCATTAAACTGATATATCTTATATTATTAAACCCCCCCCCCTCCAAAATACCTTGAAAAACATACTGTGAGGAAACTTGTCTCTCCATAGATCTGACCTGTAACTTGACCTGGTAAATATGCTTGTTTCCACGGGGATACATTTGTTTTGTGGAACATTTTAAGCAAAGGAATAACACTTCCATGGGAACAAGTTGGATGACAGGCCTTTTCCCATTGTGTAGTTTTAACATACAGGCCTCATCAATTGTCTGTCTAAGTTGATTATGATGTTATAGGGCTAGCTGTGACAACATATCTTATACAGTATTGCTTATTTTATAGGCTTATTACAGCAATGTTCTACAGATATGTGAAGAATACTTTGAAAATCTGTTTAGTTACAGAATTCTGAATATTCAAATTAAAATGCAATTTGCAACGTATTCCGATACATGGTCCAATTAGAAGGCTGTATTCTGAATACTTAGATACTTTTACATCATGTTGCATTATATCATGGCATAAAAAACATAACATAATTACCAACAGCTTTATTTTTGTTGCACTGTTTCGTGTGCATAAATGTATGCTTAATTAAATTGAAAATCACACATGCACACACCACAAAAGTATTTTTTATTATTATTATTGTTTTTTTCGGGATAAAGTACTGGCATTTATTCTTTTTAATTTAAAAAAGTAACTGTATTCAGAATATGTATTTTTGGTACATATATTCTTCCCAACACTGAGGCTCAATATACTTAAAGTTTTGCTGTGGTTGAAACTATGCACTCCAATTGTGTAATGTAATGTTGGGGCACCAAACTCAGGACATACCCTGTATTTTCCCAGAGACAGTTCAGAGTTGCCAGTAGTGACTATGACAGTAAACAGACACGATGACAGCAAGCTACAGTGTGGCGGAACCGCAGGAAATGCCTCTTTGTCATCCTCTCTTTCACTTCCTGTTCTGAATCTTGGGCTGTGTATTATTATTAGAATAAAAATCACAATTAAAAGTACTGGCTCAATAAAACAAAAACAAGCTCAGTAAAATGTACAAAACCAAAGTTTGAATTGTGTCTGTGGCTATAGTAAAGAAAACAACAAAAAATAGCATAATAGCATAACACAGTAGTAGTATAACATAGTATAACATTTAGTTTTGATGAAAGAACAACTTTTAAACTGACAGGGCAAAAGAATATACAAATATCAGGCCAAATATCAGTGTATAATTAAGTTCCTCAAAAGACAAGAATCAGCTGTTTGTCGTCACTGTTTCTGTCTGATGCCCGTAATACACTAGTGAGAACGTAGTGTTTTGTACAGCCTGTTGTAGATTGACCCCTCTGATGTAAAGTGTGTAACATTCCAGCTTTACGGCATGTGCCTCACAGTTGACTCATCTCATGGAGCAGAGAAGTCTTGCACTCTGTTGTGATTGGTGCAGTTTCTTTTCTCAAAGCTTCCCCTCCCTTCCCCCTTCCTCTCTCACAATAACCGGTCTATTTCCATTCACCTGAATAGAACAGTACTGGCCAATGTGTTTCAGTACAGGTGATATGAGGGCAGAATGACAAATGGATTTATGTAAGGAATACTGAAAGTGAACAATGAACTTGTCTGCCTGTAGAGACACAGCAATAGTACGTACTTAGATTTAGACTAGGACGAACTTGATTCATCCACATGTGAAATTACTTGGACACAGTAGCTCACACATCATAATGTAATATAACAACAAAGAGAAAATATAAATGGTAATTAAAAAAATCTAAATAAGTGTCAAACAAAAAGTGTCAAACAATTACATAAATTAATATGTGCAAGTAAAGTAAAAAATTGAAACAGTAATATATACAGTATATCACAGTTATAGATAAGAGGTCATAGGGAACAATTACAGTAAAAGCTACAGTACTCAATTTGTTTTATAGGATAAAACATTAACTTCTTTATCTCTGAAAAATCTGACAACTTGACATCTTGAACAGTCACATAATAAAATGAAAAAGTATATAAATTGTGATGTGTATCCTATAGTAATTTCAAGGGGTATAGAAAAAAATTATGCGTTGTAACATTGTATTTCCGTAACTGTTGTTGTCATAATGTTTATCATAAATTCTCAAAATGAAAGAGGAAGTGGTATATATAACTGTTTGGGCAATGTGACAAGTGTTTTGAGATGTGCTTAGTAAACACACGTTTCACAACAAACCACCTCTGACTCACAGGTTCTGAGTTTTAGGAAGTAACGATTCACACGGCTGTCACCAAAAATCTCTTTATCATTCCCCTGCTGTCTCGTGAAATTTGCCCACACACAACTCCTAAACCACACCTTGAATCAAAAGGGTTTCCCAAAGTGACAAAAGGAGACATTATGAGAGAAAAATCCAGTAATAATCAAGTTAGAAATAAAGTTGTGATGTCCATTTGTTCTTTTATTCCTGGCAGTTTTTTGTTTTCACAGTGTGGAAATTTACTGGACTTCAGATTTCTATACAGTGATTAACTTTTATGGTCAGCCTTATTCTCGGCGCATTGAACACTATGTACCTATGGCCAATAAAAACAAGACTGAACGTTTATGACCCTAGTGGCAGATATTTACCTATTATCTTGTTATTTGTAAACTCTCAGGTGAAGAGGCAAAATAGAAATCTAATTAAACACATGAATCATCATGGAAAATTTGTCAGATTCCTGAATTCACGTTAGCTGGCTTTGAAACTAACCCATCTTTATTTGGTATGATTTGTTTGATAACTTGTGTCACAATGTTATTAAATCAAGATGCCTAATTTAATATATCCTACAATATAGCCATGCACAGCAAGTTGCACACAGACTAAATATGGTAAGTGTAACACAAAGGCCACTCCATTGAGAAATTGTTTATTTTCTATAAATATATTAAAAAGTGGGTGGTCTAAATTTTGGTTATCCTAAATCTGGTTAGCCTAATTTAAGTTTAACCAGTCAGCCATGGCCTATCTCTGTGCAAATATGCAATATCATGACACAAATAGAAGTCAAACGCGCGCTTTAAAAAGTGAACTGTCTTCACAAACCACAAACCACACAGTGCGCGCTCACGCTTAGTACGTGTGCTGCACCTCTGCAGAGATATCCCGCTTAGACCGGTCTATGGTCTCTAGTCTATGGCAGGTCCTGTTCAGCAGTTCCCCTCCCCCCTCCACTCCATGAAAGGCGTACGCATATGGGCGTACGTGGTGACGTCTGCGCTTTGGCAATCAGCCAATGGGGGCGGGATTTGACGTCAACAGTTCCTCATTCATACCACGCGCCTATAAAAGCGGCAGTAAGCGCGTCAAGCGCAACTCGCAATAAAATTGACTATTAAAACTTCAATAAAAAGACCTTAAGACGCAATAACACTTGAGAAGGAAAGGAATATCTCTTTTAGTTCTACACTTTTTTGTTTAGTATTTCAACTCGTTCACTCGGAACAAAGGACTCCCGCCTAACTTATCAAAGGAAGCGCTCCGATTTCAAGCTACTTTTCCCTGTCCCGCGGTCCACGCTTTATGTATCTGGATTTACTGTTTCATTCGCGCCGTCCTACTATGGTCATAATGGAGGTCCCGACCATCGACTGTGCGTCCCTCCACGGCTTTCTGGAGGACGACGTGCCGAGCTGCCTTGTGCTCGACTGCCGCTCTTTCCTGTCGTTCAACTCTTCCCACATCGCGGGCTCCAGTAATGTCCGCTTCAGTACTATCGTACGGAGGAGGGCGAGGGGAGGCCTGGGACTCGAACACATTGTACCAAACGAGGATACGAGATGTCGGCTTCTGTCCGGAGACTACCAGTCTGTAGTGCTGCTGGACGACAGGAGTATGGACTTAAGTCAGGCCAAGAAAGACGGGACTCTGATGGTTGCTGTTACAGCTCTATGCCGCGACCCTTGTGGAGTCCGTGTTTTTATTCTGAAAGGTAAGGGATAAAAACAAATGTAGTTTCACTTTAAAAAACATTATATGCGTAAACCAGAGTCAGAGCGCATTTGTGCTTTTCAGCTGTCATCACAGTAGCAGCTGGTGTGGGTGTAAACAATGTTCCTAAATAGCCCCATGAGCAGTTGTCGTCTATTTTGAGTCCTGCGTTTAAATGTTAGCGTGTGCTGTCATCTGACCTCTATTTTATTCTTAACTTTTACAGGTGGATTTGATGCCTTTTCCACGGAATATCCAGAGATGTGCACTAAACCCACCCCTCCGCAGGGGCTCAGTCTACCCCTCAGCTCCAGCCACCCAGAGAGTGCAGGACCAGGCTGTAGTCCATGCAATACCCCCCTATATGACCAGGTTTGCGTCTTTTGAATTATTTTATAGGCATTCTAAACTTTCCTATTGGCTTTGAAATTGTTAGTTTGTTTGTATTCTGATAGTTTTGTCTTTATGTAGGGTGGTCCTGTGGAGATCCTGCCCTTCTTGTACCTTGGCAGTGCCTACCACGCTTCCAGAAAGGACATGCTAGATATGCTGGGCATCACTGCCCTTATCAATGTTTCGGCCAACTGCCCAAACCACTTTGAAGACTCCTATCAGTACAAAAGCATCCCTGTGGAGGACAACCACAAAGCTGATATCAGCTCCTGGTTCAACGAGGCCATAGAGTTTATCGGTAAGTGTTTATAGCTGTTATTTTAGCTCACTTTATACTTTGCAAATGCCAAAATGTGAGAGATCTCTCCCAGCTGTCACCTCAGGGCTAGAGCCTGTTGAAATACAAACAGCTCTCCCCTCCCCCCTCTTCCTTGTTTACTTCCAGATTTAAATTTTAAAAAGTTCCCTCCAAAACTGGCCAGCTGGCTTGGCACAGGCTACCCACTCTTACAATAGCGTTTACATCATCATTCCTCAAGAAGGGAAGCCCTTTTTTCATTGTGAGGTTCCAAGCGGGTTCCGTTGTGAGCTGTCTGGTTGGTTTGAATGGCCCCCCTCCACACACCGCTCTTTGTTCTATGGGAACAAAAGCCAATTTCTCCTCAGTCACGGCTGGCCTTCCACCAGATCAATGCACCCAGCGGGGGTCTGCTCCCCTCTTTTGTGTGCATTCAGGAGCCCCCCTCAGGGAATTAGCCTCCAGCTCCCGCCATGCACCCCTATTAACACTGTTCCTGCCTCCTAATGGCCTTCTTGAATATAAATGGTCACTGAATTTGTAACAAGTAAATAGTTCTGGCGTCTTCCAGTAACGGCCGTTTTTGCATATTTTATTCCCTCATTAATATGTACAGGTGACTAATCCTCTGTATTATTTCTCTACAGACTCCATTAGAAATAAGGGAGGACGTGTCTTTGTCCACTGTCAGGCTGGCATTTCCCGCTCTGCTACCATCTGTCTGGCCTACCTGATGCGCACAAACCGTGTGAAGCTGGACGAGGCCTTTGAATTTGTCAAACAGCGGCGCAGCATCATCTCCCCAAACTTCAGCTTCATGGGTCAGCTGCTTCAATTTGAGTCCCAGGTCCTGGCTACCTCCAGCTGCTCCACAGAGGCGGGCAGCCCGGCCCTTGGCAACACCAGCACCGTCTTCAACTTCCCTGTGTCCATCCCCGTTCACTCGTCAGCAGGACAGCGATCCTTCCTCCACAGCCCCATTACCACCTCACCCAGCTGCTGAGACAGACTATGAGAATGAACTAACAAATGAGCTGCTCTGAAATACACTTTAGATAATACTGGTTATCTATCACTAAACTGTTTGGGAGTAGTTCATCTGACTGGCCAAGTCTTTTGGCTATACATATTTCAATGGGAGATTTGATGTCTACCATCAGGCAGTATTTTAGTTGAACCCGCTGTAAGAATGTGAGCAATACTTCACAGTTTAAACAACAAGGGCTGAAAGTTACTCAGTTTGCCTTTGCCTTTAGATAATCATTTCTAATCATTTCTTCTACAAATGTGTCTCAGGAATATTTGTTTTTCTTGGTCAAATCTTTCGTCCTTGTGGTAAAAGTAGCACACAAATCTTTTGCACAGCTTGGACAGTTGAAGTAACATTTTGACAAACAATGAATGTATCCCCATTTTTGTTATTGTTGACGTGGCACTTGAATATAAGGTCAATGATCTCCCATTACTGACACATGCCTTTGACACCTTGTACCCTAGCCAAGCTAAAACTGACATGTTGAGGAAAACTGACCAATGAATACCTCATGTTTGTACTGTGTACTGCAGCACTGACTCAGAAGAACCCCAAAGAGACTAAATGGGGTTGAGTGGTCAGAAGTGACTGCAAACTGACATATTTATTTAAGTAAAGTAATATATTTCTTTATCTATTTTTGCATATGTTTGCTAAATGTTGTTTTTTATACTGTTAAATAAATCATTGAACTTTTGTACTGAAAAAGTGATCTCAAGTTTTTTTTCTTGAGTGGTAGGGTTAACAAGAAAAAGCAATATTGACAAATAAAAACTGGCAGCTACTCCTGAATGTTATATTCTCATTGGCCAATCCATGTGCAGAGGAATCTTATGAATCACTACTACCAAAAAACTCAACCCCACCATAAGGACCATGACATCACATTGTAGAGCTTTGTTTTGGCCACGTTCTCATGTCATTGTGCAAGGCGCAGGAGCAGCAGGAGGTCTGAGCATCACCCAAGCAGCCCTCCTCCCCTCCACAGCCACAATAGCAACAGCTGCAAGGCGTTTGGGAAAAGTGTGACCACTAAAGAGCGTTGAAGGCTCTGAAGAGGTCCGGCCTTGTGTCCTGTGCCACACACACCAATGGGAGGTGGAGGCGGAGACCAGGCCGTGAAAGGGAGAGGAATATGTTTGGGTTGCAAATTAGCCAAAGCACAAACAGTGTGACCCTCAGGAGTGTGAGAAAAACTTAATGGATCCCAAAGGTTTTCAGTGGAACTCCAAATTGGAAAATTAAACTAGATATGGGTACTTTCTCACAGAATTTTACAACTTATAAGTGAAGTCTGTGTCATTTAAATAATGGCCTGTCTGGGCCAAGGTGGAAAAAAACTTAAAAAAAAAAAAGTTCTAACTCTGCTCTTATCCAAAAGATAATGTAATTAAGTCACAGCATTACATAGAACTATAATAAAATTATAGATCCATGTATTATTAACAATTGCTTTTCTACACCTGCAATGGCTGCATATGATTATCCAATAGACAGGTGTTTCTGCTATGAAGTGTATTACAGGCTAGACAACTGAGTAGAGGTCGTCACCTCAGGTGTAGGAGGAAAAGCTATTTAATTGTTAATGCAGTTATAATATATTTTTACCAAACACTGATAGAAGCAATAAAAAGAAACTTAGAAAACTTCTTCCACCTTGGTGTGGCCCAAACTGGCCATATAATATACCCAAGTTATTCTTTAGCTAACTCAAACCTATGACAGCACATTTAAATTTATGTTTAAACTGCGAAAAAGGTCCTTGCACCAAGTTTTGCTTAAGGATAGGGGGAGAATCTCCTCTGTATGGGTGGAATCTCTCTTCCTATGTCATCTGTAGGATTTAGAACTCCTGAATATAAAATAATGTAAATACAAACTATTAATAACCTGTCATATGCGCTTGAAGAATGTACTAGTACACATTGTACACATGCCCTGACTTTGACTTTGCCCTGTGTTTAAATCATAATACTGTCATTAGTTCACTAGCTCCCTCACACATTTGGTGGTCTTTGGTGGTCTGTGGTGACATATGCATACCCCCACCCCCAGAACCCACCACAATCTGCACCGCCTTTGTGCCTTTGGACTTCCTGTTGTCCCCTGTGCAGAGCAAGGCTGGAGTGTGTCTGTGTCTGCCTGCGTGTGAAAGTTGTTAAGAGCCTTTTATGATATGCTGAGAGGGGAGGGGGGGGCGGTGGTCTTATCAATTGGCAGACCACCAGCATTACAGCCCTGAGGGACAAAGTCAAGGTGTCACCATTGGAGCATTAGTCAGAATAACAAATAGCTAACCCCATATTAACTGGCAAAACAAAAACAAACACTCAGTTGTTGTTGTTCTTGCAGGTTTTCCAAAAATAAATGCTAATCTTCTGTGTTCTTAACCAATTCTACAGAGGAGTGTTGAAATTACATTGGCAATTTGCTGTTTCATTTAGCAACTGTGCTCCAACTTTGACATCAAAGTCTATTTAATTAACAGTACCCTATGAAAATAAAGGTTAGATAACGCCTCAAACACCAGTGCCATCTACGGGTAGCAAACACCCCCACCCCTTTACATGCTATGTGTGTTATGCTGTATGACACTGTGATCTGTCGACAATTGAATAATTAATTTAGGCCTACACTACTCTTAGCTTGAATATGCTATTAACATGAGTGTCATACAACTATGTATTATCAGTATATAAACAAGACATGTGTCAGGGTTTTCGTTATAATTGGTGGAATAACTTCTGTAATTAATAAGGATATTTAAATGGTAACTGGTCACATTTATATACTACTTTTCTACCTTCAAGTCACTCAAAGCAATTTACGTCAAGGAACACTGACCCATTCACACACAGACTCATACACCAGTGTACACAGACAATGGGGACAACATGGGTTAAGTGTCTTGCCCAATAACACAATAACAGCATTTATCTGTGGGAGCTAGAATCGCACTACACACTTTTGGGTGGGTGGATTTGTTCTGATTTGTCTGAGCATGTAACATTATGCATCAAGTTGTTTGTTCCACTTTTGATTTGGTATGTGACTAACAGTGAATGCACCATAAAGTAATGAATAGATAATATTACAAAGTTCATAATTAAAACCATAAAAACTGAAGTAACTGAAACTGGCATGTTCGCATACAGAAAACAACACAATAAAGCCTTACTGCACAAAGCACTGATGGGTAATGATGCAATATTTGCAACCGGATAATATTTTCTTTCCTAATTTAACATGACCAATCTTCCTTTGAGGACACACACACAATGGGCACTCTTCCTTTGAGGACACACAGGCAATATAATGTAGCACCACAGGCCTGTCAAACCCATTGTTTATACTACTATAGTGTGAATGTGATTAACAGTAACGCTTCAGTAATTACACTCACCCTTTATAGAGCTCCCAATTTGATTAAGTCTCCCAAACACACACACGTTGAGTTTCCTTGCTTCTTGGAAACATTACACTGACTTACATTAATTTCCTAGAAACTGATTTTAATCTTAAGCATAGTTACGTCTTGCTTAACCTTAACCTAAACCCTAACTTTAACCCACATCTGATCTTTAAACCATGCAGTTGATCTAATAATAAAAATTTGCATCATGAGGACCTGGTTTTTGTGCAGCTCTCTAGAGATTTTAGCCCCCACAATGTGATAAATACCCACCGACACACGCAAGAGAGCTATAAGCCATATTTCATAAACTGAAGTCATGACCCGTCCTCACCTGCTGTAAATATAAAGAGGATTACCAGTATGACGGCAGGCCCCTATGACACCCTGTGCTCTGTTGTGGCTTGTCCTAAACTTGACTACAAAGACCCACTCCTAAATCTCTATGTGGTTTAGAAAATGCACCATGACGCAAGCAAAATAAAGAGTTAGGTTTGCGTTATGCAGAAAGAATTCATATTTGCTGCCTTTTAAAATACGGATTGTAGAGGCCAAACTCTAAAGTGGTCAAGCATGCTTGTGTTGCATGACAAGAGCTGAGATAAGGGCAGATTTTTCCCAGGATAACCTCGGATATGTATAGCCAGGGGAATGTTGTCAGGATATTACGTACATAGGCTGTGTGAATTAGCGTTTCCTTGCCAGCAGGGTCCTTTCCTCTGTCTGAAAGGTAAAACAATGGATGAAGTATGTTGGTGTGTACTAGACAGTCAGGAGTCAAGCTGTATATGACATAAAAAAAATTGAAAAAACTTTGGACACAATGTAAACCATAGCTAATAAATCAAAAAATAATTTGTGAAAACAAAATGCCTGTTGCAGATTAAGATTTTAAATGCATAAAAATCATTGCACAATCACATGCCATTATCTTTTTGGTTCTTCCAAGACTGTTACATTTGGAAGGGCGATAGGAGTAATACTATTATTGCTGCTGCAAGGTAAAACAAAACAAAAAAAACAGTACAAATATACTCACAATATATGTATGTATACTACAAAAACTATATATGGCAAGAACATTATGTGTTTGAACCTTTCCTTTGTTAAACTGGTATTGTAGATTGGTGTAAAAACATTTGCACACAACATGATGAATGCAAATGCTCAAAGGTCAGACCTTTGACACTGCCCCTTTTGGACCCTGACTACTCTGAATGCAGTCTGTATTTTTCCACTGGCCTGAGGGCTGGTGTTGTGTTCACAGGCAGAGTTAAGATCCTGTGTGGAGTATTTGAAGAATGTGAGGCATCCTGTCTTCTACACTCACTGCAGCCTGCTCCAATGATGTCACTGCAGAAGAAAATGTATAATGGTGTGCAGAAATGCCAAAGGAGCGAGCAGATGGTGTAGGTTAGGTTAAGAGGTGCCATATGAGGAAGTCAGATTTATGAAGGAATGGCATGAGAGACACAATGTACTCTTTGTGTGGACAGATATTCACTGAGAACACAGGCTACATTTTGTTCAAAAATATACAACTTCACAGAGCAATCACGTGGGTGTCAAGACACTTTCAACAACAATCTTAGATAACTTGTAGATAGAAAGGGTTACGGAAACAAGTTGGACTGCATTGATCATGTGGCTACAATGATCATCACTGAATAGAAGAAATATAAATTCAGCTGAATCTAAAATGTAGGCCAAATACTTGGTAACTTCAATCAGGTCCATGAAAAATGTATGTATTTCGTTAAATAAAAAGAACACAATGAAAGCGTGTAAAATATATATCGATAAAATATACCTAAAACCAATTATAAATCTGATACTGTGTTATGCCTTGACAACACATGTACAGTGTAAATGCTTGCAAAAGATTTTGGCTAAACTCAACAAGATGAGTAGTCAGATGCCTTCTTTGAATTGTGAACGAGCGCCCTCTTGTGGGGCAGAACAATTACTACAAATGATCAAACAACAGAAATGTGTGTTATTTAACTTCTAAAAACAAGCAGAGAAAAGGCAGGACCCTATGTGTGTTAAGATGAGGCCTAATCACTATGCCCCATAAGAGAATTACTATTTCTTGTTAAGAATTGCAAATATACATATAGAGAAGCATATGATTTAATTAAAGGTGGACCAATATATCGATTGGTTGATTTATAATAGGGATGGATGGATTTTTTTTAGCTGATACCGATAACAATATTATGTTTACAGATTAATTTATAACTTAACAGATAATAATGAAGGATAAGAAAATGTATTTATCTATGTATATACTGTA